ATAAAGATAGAGTAAAATTAATTATTTGTGTTTATTTATTGCAATAAAAAGTTTCATGACCCTTGTCAATGAACTTCCACGTGTGCCCCATTGGTCGCACGGAGAATATCAAATCGATAGTCAATTTCACGCCAGGTAGCGGCAAGCATGTCGGCATCCATAGAGGCTATTGCGGTTGTAATTCTGTCTTTTAGGTCATGTTCGACACGATCCTCCTGTAAACATTGTCATTTATAAATCCCCAAAGAAAAAAAGTCCAGCTGCGTTATATCAGGTGATCTGGATGGCCAAGGAATTGGACCTCCTAGCCCAATCCATCTTCCTGGAAAATGGTCATTCAAAGAACTACGAACGATGATACCCCAATGAGGTGGTGCACCATCTTGTTGCAAAAAGACGTGTGGCTGCAGCTTTTCTAGTTGTGGAAATACGAAGTTTTCCAACGTGTCTAAGTATACGACTGATGAGACATGCTTGCCGCTACCTAGCGTACAATTGACTATCGACTTGATATTTTCAGTAGAAGTTCATTGACAAGGGTCATGAAACTTTTTGAGTCTATCTAACCATTTATGTTATTAATTTTAATCTATCTTTATTATTTTATGAGTTATTAAACATCAAAATGGGTCCGGGACTTAATAAACACCCTGTATAATTTGTATCCTACCACTTTAACTCAGAAAAATATTTGTGTTTTACCGTTTCGCCAAGCACCCCTTAGCGATGGGGTAGCCAGCTTGTTGCCCTTCGTAACCTTGGATGCATCTTTGTGATTGCGGTATCCATCACCTAGTGCTATCTGTTCATTGGCTAAAATCTCATGAAACGAGATTTTCTTATAGCTGTTACAGGGCAGCCAACTTTGAAAGCTTTTTGTAAAAATCTATTATAGTGGTAGCTATGTTTTAATGTATTATTTTTTATTCATCTAAACTTATTTTCCATACTGCTACATATAAATGATTCAAAAGTTCATATGCAACGCCACATTTTTCCAGCTCTAGAGCGGTGAAGCTTTTAAAATGTGAGCAAAATTATCAAAAATTCTGAAAATTTTGGTTTTTTAATGTCTACCACTCAATAAAATATTTTCCAAAAAGCGTAGTAGTTGACAGCAGAGATGCCAACTTGCTCCCGATAGCAAATATATATTTTAAAGTGGTTGTTTATCAATTGTGATTCTTGGTTTAATAAATTCAACTTAGTAGATTTTTATCCACCACTATTTCTAAATAATTCGTAGGCTTATATAATCATCACTTGTGTAGTACCTATGTCATGCTATACCTTTTAAAAAGCATTCAAAAATAGTCAAGTATTTCCTACATTTACTTTGTAGTTATATACCGTTTTTTTAAAAATTATTTTGGCATGTCCGGAGCAGTTGGCATCTCTGTGATAGGCCAGCTATTAATCAGATTCATTTAAATATTCTTGTGATAACGAACAGGTGTAATATTTTATTCTTCATAATTTTGTTACAATTCATCAATTTTTTAAGGAACCGTATGGATCCGGTTCCTTTGTACTGAACTATACAAAATATTGTACGAATCTTATAACAAAATCGATCATAAAAATTTCAAAAAATAATTAGATATAAATCGTAATAAATTTCATAAAAAATAGAACGAAACAATTTCAACAAAATAACAGAGAATAACTCGCCACACACATTTAAATTGAATCCGTTCGTTTTGAGGTATAACACAGTTATCATTTTGCTTCAAAAATCTTAAAAGATCTTGGCAAAATGTAAACATAAATTGCTGGTAACCATTTTCAGAAGAGCACTCGAGAAAACCGTTAAAAAATTCATAATTATAAAGTCATAACAATTCATATTATGAAGTCATAACAATTTTCCTTATCAGTGTCAGCAGTAGGTAAAAACCTCTGTGTGCGTCTTATACCAGTCCCAATAAAATAAATATGAAAATCCAAAAAGATTCGATACTGAGAGTTATTATCAATGCACTTTCTCATGAGCGTAGCCATTTTCTTTTTCCACTTGGCTAAGACGTTTGGAATGTCGAGTTCGAACACCATTGCTTTGATGATTTTCTTCCGTTGAGGTCATTTGTTTGGATTTTGTTTCTAAATCAATCTTTTTCTGTTTGTTGTATGTGTTGCGATAAAAGTTGATGAACATGACCATAAACAGGAGGGCATGACCCATGACAGCATAAGCAAATCCTTTCTGATAGCCACAGTCATAGAAGAGAGGCACCATTGCGTGGACAAATGCGAGTACGAACTGAACCTAAAAAATGAAATTAAAAAAAGTTTAGAGCGAGTAGTTAATAAATCTAGAATATTAGAACAATTATAAATTGTTATAAAAAAGGAGGTCGTATTAAAATAATTCGACAAAATTATTTATTCAATTCACTTTAAAATATCGTTCTCTGCTTCAGGTCAAAGTCAAAATTACGGTCTGTGGATGAATGAATGGTTCCGCCCTATAAACGGGTGTGGCAGAAATTGAATTCTTGGCTATAGATGGCGCAACTGGAAAACAAGAACAATCGCACACTTTGCCTTAATGGTATACGACGACAACAACAACTTTAAAATGTATTCGATTTTTAACCGTTTAAACGCTGATGTTCTAATTTTGGAACATGGCTTTTTCCCAAAAGACAAATACTGGTACCTCAGTTATTTCATTGTTAGCATTTATTCTAAATAAATAATGCATGCTTATCTACCAATATTATTTAATAATATACTGTTGTTGTTGTTACACCCCCCCCCCTGGAGAAGGAAAGCCTAGACCAGGTCCAGAAAGGCCCCGTCGCGTCAGTTCCCCATACATCTGCAGAAAGTCCCGATCAACCAGCAGCTGCCTAAAAGAAGCGCCAAGGCAAAAAAGAAGGTGATCAGGACTAGCAGGTTGTGAGCAGGAACAAGGTTGGAAAGTTTTCTCCCCATTTTGAAACCTTAAACACTTAAGATAGCCACTACGAAATCTGGCCATGGCCTATTGGAAAGGCCGAGGGCAGCAGCATGTTAATGATAGGCCAGGGCAGTTGCCAGCATACCATTGATGGGATGGAGTACGGCGCCACACTGGAAGCAAACGATGTGTTCCCAGGGAGTGGATCTCAGTGGGAGTAAGACGGTTCAAACAGTCCATAGGAATATCACAGCCATTCTTGGCGAGCACATCGGCTGTCTCATTGCCATTTACCCCGACATGCGATGGGATCTATTGGAGGCTTATTGGTGTCTTCAGGCCTATCTCAGATAGAAGCTTCATAGTTTCCTGGCCAGGAATATCAAATATTTCCGGCAAGTTCAAATTTAGAGACAAATATATAATAATATACTAAATTATATATTTGGTTCTAAATTTTAATTGTTATTCGTGATAATATGAATTTTAGCCCGATTACCGCATTCTTATGCTCAGATTGCATTTTATCTCAATTCTACTAACTTTATCATACACAAACACACACAGATAGGTTATAGGACTACGGCGAACCCGGTGAAGGAGCAACCCTGTAGGGTCCGATCCGGGAAAGCCGTAGTACTATTAAATTTAGTACAATGAGCAACCCGGTACAAGCTGTGGTCTTGCCGGGACGACCGGGTCACTGCTTTAGCAGAAGTTCACAATATTCTTTAATGTAAATAGTTTTAGTATGTAAATATTTCAGTATTGCTCTTTTCACTTCATTTACTTACTTATTTGTTTTAAACACATGTTTTGTACAGTAGGGAACCGATTATCCGGAACGATCGGGACCATCGCTATTCCGGATAACTGATTTTTCCGGTTTTCTGAATCGCTACAAAAAGCCGTTTTTTTATTGTTAAATCCAACTAAAAAAAAATTTTTTTTTTGTAAATAATCTTAAAAAGAGGAAAAAACGATGAAGTAATACACTAATGATAATTTCCAAAATGATGGTAGGTGAACATCTTTCAAAAAGGAAAGAAAAATCCTAAAATCTTATAAGAAAAAAAAAAATTTGAAAAATGGAGGGAAAATTTATCGAATTTCGTTCCGGTTTTTTGGTTTTCCGGTTTTTTTGGTTTTCCGGTTTTCTGATTTCCGGATAACGGGTTCTGTACTGTATATAGCTAACTTAATCTTACTTTCATGTAAATTTATCATTACTATTTTTCTTCAATTTCATGCCCGACTTATAGCGCATATTGTGTTATTTGACAACTAGTTCCTGGCTATACCTTTTCTTTTGTTGTTTTTGACTACAGGGATTTCCCCAATTTAAACTAGCATATGACTTTAATGATGACTTTTACTTATATATCAAACAGGGGCGCTTCGCGCCAAATACCGAGATTACACAGATATCCAGTATCCGTTAATTGTTATACATTTATACCAAATTAATTGTTAAATGAAATATCTACTTAATTTAATTATAAATTTTGCTTTTGTGATAGTTTAAAGAAGTGCATTCGGCATATAAGAGTTCAGTCACAAGTCTCTATTTGAATAAAATTTCATCTCATTCAAGTTACGTTCGTAGTTAACTTTTTCAACCGAATACTTCTAACACATATTGTAATCGAAGCTTTCATTTTTAAACCAATCAAATTTGTATTGATTGGCGATCAATTAAATTATTATTATTCTAGTCTTTCACATTCAAAATTTATTGCACCATTCTCAAACCACGTACGGAACACGCATCATTATAATGAGCCAATTTTTTTGTTTTGCCTCCTTTAAAATGAAACGGAAGAAGGCCAATTTGTAAATTTCTTTACATCAATTTTTGTTCAAATAAAATTATATTTTGTAAAATTATACCAATATCAATTTTTACCGGCATTTGCTGAATTTATCAAATGCTAAGCTTCAGTTTTTTCTACGCATTCAGTAAAACTTTATTCTAGTGATAGCTATGTTTATATTTAAATTTATTATTTTTTATTCATTTAAACTTATTTTCCGCACTACTATATATAAATAATTTAAAAGTTCATATTCAACAACACTTTAACCCTTTCTAAAGCCGTGGTAAGTATACTTACCACCAATTTTTAAAATCTATGGTGAACTTTTTTAGCAGTTTAAATTTAGGTTTCCATTTGTTAATAACTTCAGCTTTCTTGAAGTGCGTTTGAATAAAATTGGCAACCATTTGTTAGTTTAAGAAAACGTATAAAAGTTATAAAATGCATTATTCCATTTGAAGATTGTAGCATTATAAAATTTATTTTATAAATAAAGAAAAATGAAAGTCAATAAGTTCCTAATAGGTCGTGTTAAATATACTTACCACCAAAAAAATGGTATTTTTATAAACTAAATGAGTTTTTTTCTTATATTAACAGAGATGCCAACTTGTTCCGGACAGCAAATATATATTTTAAAGTGGTAGCTAATCAATTGTGATTCTTGGTTCAATAAATTCAATTTAGTAGATTTTTATCCACCACTATTTCTAAATAATTCGTAGGCTTATATAATTCACCAGTTTATGGAACTTACGTCATACTATACCTTTTAAAAAGCAAACAAAAATAGTCAAATATTTACAAAATTTACTTTGTAGTTATTTTCTGTTTTTTTAATTATTTTGGCGTGTCCGGAGCAGTTAGCACAGTGTTTCCCAACCTTTTTGTGCCATGCCCCACCTAAGCCTTTCTAAAATTCTTATGCCCTCCTATGTAACAATTTGCAATTTTTAATATTAAAAAATTTAATTGTTCACTTAAGAAACTTAAACAATAGGTTTTAAATCAGTAGGAAATTGTTAGCGAAACACAGTAAGTAAATTTTCAAAACATATAATGAAAAACTAAAATTTAAATAATTTTAATAAAGATTTTTCTATAATATTTTAATTTATTGAGATCCTTGCACTTGATGCTTGCAGCACAGAGATTTTATGTTAGGTTCCAATTTGGTCATCTTCAGTCTCAAGTCTCCCCGTACATCCAGGCGATTTCTTTTCTTTTTTTTTTTTTACCAGTAAATCATTTACAGCAAAAAACCCACATTCAGCTAAATATGAAGATGGAAACTGTAACAATAGCTTTCTTGTACACTTGGTTGAATTTGGGTATTTGATTTCTGTTTCCTCTCAAAGCCATGCCATCTCTCCTTTTATATTAAATAAAGTTTTAACTGACTCATAATTTTGCATTTCTTCGAGTTCTTCTTGATACTGCATATTTGATATAGCAGACGAATCCACTAACATTGACAGCATCATCCGTGTTGGAAAATCAATTTGTTTTAAATCAGAAAATGTTTCTTGTAAATCAGACATTAGACTTTTCAGATGATCGACAATAACAAATAAAGTGGTATCATTTATTTCGCATTTTTGGAGCCAATGAAACTGTTCAAAGTTTTTGTTGTTAATATATTTCTGAAATTATTTCTGAAATAGCTCAATAAGAGTAATGAAATCAAATATCTTCGCTTTTGCATCACCAAGAGTTTCATTTGTTCCTTGAAGTTGCTTATTTAATATATTTAGTTTTTCAAAGATATCGGCTAAAGAACTAACAAATGCTATAACATCGACTGTTAACAGATACTTCATTTCAGGTTTGTCGCTTAAAAAATCGCTAAGTCACATGATATTTATTGGCCGCAATTATTTAAGAATTAGCTTTTCTCTTTTAATTTTGGCACCGAAATCTAGCATTGCATTTAAATGGCCCGGAGCAAAAGGGTTAAACTCGTGTCGAGTCCATTTTCGAATTGCCCCCTTTAACAATCAAATTGCCCCCCAGTGGGGCGTGGGCCCCACGTTGGGAAACACTGAGTTAGCATCTCTGTATCAATTACTATTCTTGTAACTATTTTAATTTCAAAAATACTTTAATTTACCTTTGCTAGAAATAAATGGTCCATTAAAGGGTTAATTCAGTCCTTTCGTGGTGAGGCTTTCATGATTTTTCAATATTACCAAAACTTCTGAAAGCTTTGATTATGAAAAGTCTACCACTCAATATATAAAAAATTTGCAGAAAACGTAGTAGTTGGCAGGTCTGCGAAGATATAGGCGACGTTGCTACATCTCAGTAATCGCCTCTCAACAGGTAACACATTCTGATCCATTACCTGTTAACCTGATTAAGCGTAGGATCTATCGCTTTCTTTTATTTATTTTACGTAACTGAATCACATCTAAGAAATAAAACTGAGAAAGTTTCGTGCGGTTAGTTTAAAAAATTAGAATTTGTGATCAATTGCGAACTTAAGATGGGGAATTCCATCATAACTCAGGTGACATCGGAATGTAAGACAGTGCTTAGATTTTTATTTCTAGGAAAGACATTTTCTGAGTAATTAAATAAGAATTCTTAAGAAGATTCACTTACATTAAAGAGATGCGTATAACTATTTCTTTCAATAAATACCACAAAAGTGGGAAGGTGAATCGTGTATATTGTTATCAGATATCTCATTAAATTCACTCCCTGTGGTTTTTTTTTGCTCTAATGAAGGTGAGTGAAGTTTGCGGTTTCCAAAACAAGCATTTCTTCAAGGGTTTTTTTTTTAAAAATTCCAGTCGTTCCTTATCTCTAGCTGAAATAATCAGGTCTGAAATAATAGTTGCTCTATTCAAAGGGGAAAAACCACTGATGACTAAGAATGATTTTAACTGAGAAATACTAATCAGGAATTATGTTACGTATATACAGTTTATGCAAAAAAATATGGAAAAACTTTTATATTGATTCTATATACCACAATCTTCCTTTCAGCGGCTTTGTGAGAGGATGCGTGGTAAAACTGAGGGCACAATTTGAATAATCATGACTGAGGCTTTTAGAAATGGTGTTCATGCAAACTTCGGATCGACCGAAGGAAGTGTGACAATTTCGCTGCTCGAACAACATGGTAACACTAACGTATGATGGTGCACGGCTTCCAACAAGAACAATCAGTAATAATCAAGTAAAAAGAGGTCAAATCGGGACTCCAAAAACAGCGATTTTTTTCTAAATCTGGTAACCATGTCACTTTCTTTTTAAAACAATAAATCTATTGATAAGTAAAACAAGTTTTCGATTCAAGGTGGATCTAATATAAAGTGACCACATTTTTATTGAGACAAAGCGGAACAAATGGGAGGAAATGAGAATTACAATTTTGTCAAACTTTCAACTCGCACAATATATATATAAAAATACGAATAAATGTTTGCAAAAGTATTTTCAACATCAACTGGAAGTAAGTCAGATGCTGTTTGAATAGAACAGGTATAGAACAGAGGTCGCCAAAGTGGTCTATATAGACCCCCAGGGGTCTATTTAACTAAAGCGGGGGTCGATCTGATACAGGGGGGCGAATGGGGGTCGATCCGAATCGGAAGGGTCGATTGTGGGTCGAAAAAAAAAACAGTTCTCAATACTCAAATCACACATACCTAATTAAGTATGTAAAATTTGTGAATTTTTTTTATAATTGACTCAATATCAGTTTCTTTATAAAACATAAATTAATAAACGTATATTTATTGGGGTGAAACAAGTATGTACGTACCAC